ACAAAAATCATATATTTTAAAATAAAATTTAATATTAATAAAAAAAATAATTTTACCAATGATAAAATATAATATATCTACTTTGTTACAGTATATAGTGTTATATTCTAAAAAATATCCTATAATTATTTGATCAGAAGATGTTTATTATTCTTTTAAAAATTAATATCTCTTAAAAATTGGTAGTAAATAGATTGTGATTGTATTTGAGAAATCATAAGTAAAATATAGTTTATCAATATTTTTGTACTGTAATTGAAAGATATTATAGTCAATTAAATATATGAAAAACAAATAAAAGATTTCAATAATACTAATTATTAACTATTTTAGGTCAATAGATATTTTTGTACTGTAATTGAAAGATATTATAGTCAGTTAAATATATGAAAAAAATAAAAGATTTCAATAATACTAATTATTAACTATTTTAGGTCAATTAAACATATATTAATTTATGTTACTTAACTATTTTATGTAATCATCTAAGAAATTGGATAGATATATAAAAATATTTTATTACTTTGAATATATGAAACTATATTTTTCTTGTTGTTTGATATTATTTTTTCAAAGAAATAATATTTCATTTTTAATATTAAGAGCATTTCATTAACTATTTTTGGTCAATTAAACATATATCAGTTTATGTTACTTAATTTTGTTATGTAATCATTTAAGAAAATAGATAGATATATAAAAAAATATTTTTATTACTTTGAGTATATGAAAAATATTATTTTTGTGTTATTAAATATCATGTTTACAAGGAAATAATATTTCAGTTTTTAATATCAAGATTATTTATGTAATTTGGTTTTATGAAATCACATTATAAAAAATATATATATATATATTATCTAATAAAAATATATATATATAGTATTTTATTATTTCAAAAGTACATATTATGTTATTTAAAAATATTTTTGATATAAAATATTAATATTTTATGAACTTGCTTTTTAATGAAATCATATTATATATACATATATTTTTTAAATTCCTTTTTTATAAATGTTTCCTTTTTATGATATATGTTATCTGGAAATTTTTGAAAGGAAACTATTTTTTTTAAATTGTATTTAAATGTAATATTTTAATTTATTAAGGGTATCAGTGTAATCAGCCATCGTGACAGTTCACATGAGCGGGACACATTAAAAAAGAACTTCTCAAATAATATTATAGAGATACATATATTATAGAGAAACTAAAATAACATATATCAAGTCACTAGATTTAGGCATGTGTGTTGCAATTCTTTATTTGATATTTCGTTTGATAAAGTATTAAAAAAATATTTTATTATAATTTAAGATTGTTTTTGCATGTTTTATATGAAATTATTTTATAATTAAGAACTTGTTTTCACCCATAGATTTCAGCTAATATTTGTTTTTAATAATCATGGTGCATAGATAAACTGTTATCAACTTTGTATTTAGAGCTAGAAAAAACATATATACTTAAATATATAAAAATAAATTTGGAAGTTAAATAATGCTAAGAAGCAATGACAATATTATACACTTACTTATGTACTAATTTAATATTATATAAAATTTCTCTGATGTTATATAATTTTATTGATTCATTATTTATTAATGATATACTTTCATAATAACACTCCAATAAAAATCAATTATAGAATACTACAGAGTAAAAAAAAAAATGTAATAAGATAACAATGAAGCTTGATTTGTTTTTAACTAAACACATGTATGGTGAAAATAACAATAATCTATTTTTTTATGAGCATACATAGAAAAAAAAAGTATATATATATATATATATATATAACATGTTTGATTTTCGTATGAACAAACACTAATAAATATCAATTACAGCAATATCCTAGTTTTTGATTTTTTTTTAGTTTAATAGTTTTAGCATCATACTTGTCATCAATTTTTTTAAATACTAGAAATAGCTAATTTTGTTTTTGTTAGAAATTTTAAAAAAGAAAATAATTATATTTTACATATAACTAGGGGAGCCCGGTGCTACGCGCCGGATTACGATGATAATAGATGTGGTGTAATCCTTTTGAAACTTTGTTCTAAAATCTTTCAGTAAGTTTTTTTATCACTAATAAATTAATGAGTGTAATATAATCTACGTAATAAAATATATGCGTTTTAACTTTTATCGAATCATAGAGATATTAAAAATATGTTTTGAGAAACATAAACAGTTGAAAATTTATTTTTACGACTCTATTTTCTTATAAAATTGTAAACATAGTATTCACGTTTACTTACTGAGAATCTCACGTTCAAATGTTTGTCACTTAGCTAATAACATTTGTAAATATGAACTACATAAACCAACATAACATTTAAGCAAAGGTGAGTTGATTATTTAAACATTGAAAAACACTAAAAATGATGAATCCTGCAATAAATATAACTCACTAATCAGTCTCATGTTTCTCATATATCTTATAATCTTGAAATACAACCATAGCATAAATCTATATGATCTCGATAGTTTTTTTCACTGGTGGTATAAAACAAAGAAACCTCTGATGATAATAGTGACAACCATATGATCTGATATGTGATGACGTCCTGGAGCTTGAAGGGAGAACTACCCAGACAGATTCTTAAGCGTTGCAAGCAGAGACCCTGCATCTATGAAGTATGACGCCAGATTGGTCCAGAGTTATCGTCGTACTTCTTCAAGAAAGGATGTTCCTGAGATGTTTTTCAAAAAGGATATAGTAGAAATTTTTATATAAAACAAAACACTAATTCCTTTGCAGAGCGTCGACTGGGTCCTTTGGCAAGAAGAGAAGAATACTATGAACATGATCTAAAGAATACAATCACAAACGGTTTCTAAAATTAATCTTTCAGAAGATTTTTTATTAACTAAGATCCGAATTTAAAAGTTTGATAAGGTTCAGTTTAAGAACACTATGAACAAAAAAAAATCATTATGAACATGAGTTTAAGAAAACATTCACCTTTGAATCCACTAAGAGCATCATAGCTTGCCACTGCGTTTGACGTTCATGGCTGCCCAGAATCTGAGCAATCTATTGAATATCAAATGAAATAAACGATAGATTATGTTACAATTTGGGAAAGNATGAACATGAGTTTAAGAAAACATTCACCTTTGAATCCACTAAGAGCATCATAGCTTGCCACTGCGTTTGACGTTCATGGCTGCCCAGAATCTGAGCAATCTATTGAATATCAAATGAAATAAACGATAGATTATGTTACAATTTGGGAAAGGAAAAAGAAAAATCCACATGGCATACCTTTGCTTGTAATTTGAAAAAAGAAAAACAAAAGGCTATAACACCAGAGTTAACTACTCTCTTCTCTTCGTTTCAAAAAGATGCATATTCTAAGAAGAAAGTGTTTCAAAAAGATATAATTTTTTTCGATTTTCAATGCAGTTTTGTTAACTAATAATTAAAATTATAAATTTCAAAAACATTAATTGCATTTTTTGAAATCTTATTAATTTAGAAATATAAAAAAATTAAATTACAAAAAATATGCATAATAACAAAGTTTTAATATGTTTTATTAGTAAGTGTTAAAAACTCAAAATATGTATTATTTTGAAACAGAAGGAGTATTTTTTTTTTCAAAATAGCAAAACATTCTTAAGAACAAAAAAAAAACTATTTAAGATATTACTTTTCATTTTCATGTTTTCTCAAACTTTGACCAACATAAATAAAAATTAAATTTAACGAATAATTTTTTATGTGGTGCAAGTTCAATTTTATGAAAATATACAATATTCTAATTACATACATCACACGACAATCAAGTGCATATTGAAGACCTATCCTAATATATAAAAGATAACTGATTTAAAGGTTCTAAGAATGTTACATAGAACGCCAAATCTAACAAAAAGAAGAAGAAAAAAAATCATAAACCGCGAAAACTATATATGTCAAAAATAATAAAAATAAATTAAAAGAGCATTTTAAAAACAATTCCTCAAGCATGTCAAAATATTCAAAATAGTATTTATCAAAATCTTTTTATCATTCAATAGCAATTTTAACTGTAAAGTTGTAAACAATCCATTTAAATCAAAAAAAACATCAAAAATTTATAACTTTAATATGTAAAAACATAACAAAATTTTAGACTAAATGTATGATGTTTGAATTTTTAAGAAGTTCAGAATTTATTTACATGCTGGTGTATCTAAGTTATGGTAGTATTTTAGTCATATTAGACATGTGGCCGTTTACCAGAGATATAACAGTTAACATTAAGTTTGTCCTCTCTCTTGTTTAGTTAGAAAATGTGTTCTACAAATAGTCTTTGCACACACTACTTCTGATGTTTTTCCTAGATGTCAAAAAAAAAAGAAGTCTTTGCACACACTGCTTCTGATGTCAAGACTGTGACGCAGAAACTGAGAAGCACACAAAAGATACTCAAGAAATCAAAGCAATAATATTACGCTAACAAACCAAGGCCGGCTTCAACTTAGTTCAGAGAATATGATTATTACAGATTTATACAAAAATAGAGGCTTTGAGCTGCAGAGTTTCTACTATTACACCTCTATCCACACTTCTTCGTATAAAAGATTACATCAACTTTGAGCAAAAGACCGCTAATTTTTCAGTCGCATCAGGAAGCGGAGAATCATGAGACAGTGGCTGCAGAGGAGAGAAACAACATAGAGCTCAATTAACATAAGGCCTCAGATTTTTATTCTACTTATCTTGACAATTTAATCTAAAGCTTTGTTACCTGCTCCAGCGAGCGGAAATACATGAAGGGTGTGTCGTTGAGGAAGTTGGAGACTCTTGATGTGTATATATCAGCATACCTGAAAACCAATTTTGAGTGAGGGAAGTAAGTGTGAGAGATATACTACAAGTTTCTCAGAAAATGCAGAGAAGAGAGTATCCATACTTTTCGATTTGTCTCATCAAGTGGCTTTTGTCCCACAACCCAGAACGTGAAAGGAAGCCCCACCTAGTAAAACAACCCAACAATCATGGATCAGATAGAAGAGGTATCATAGATACTTGTGTAGTTTGTCCCTTTTAAAAGTAAAAACGTTTTGTTGAAGAGCTCGCCGTCTGATACAAGCATTAGACAAATCTTATCTAGTCTTTGCATTACAATGAGAAGCTTCTGCATGGTCTCTGCCAGTTCTTGATCAGCCAAGTTGGTAGCAGCTAAGGTCTAGAAAGAAAAAAATAATAAAGAGATAGATTTATGAGAGTCTCTTATCTGATCTAACTACCAATTGTATCCAGCACGTGAGATAAACAAAACCTGAGCAGGAAGGCCTTTGTGTCTTCTTTGAAGAGCAAGCCGAAGCTGGTTAAAGAGACCCCCAACAACCTCTTTTTGATTTAGAGATTCTCGGTGACCGCGGCAACCAATCAAAGCCATATACTGCAAAAGAAACAAACACAAAACCGGCATTTCTCTGTTACTTACAACGAAAAAAACATCAAAGTATTAATTTTTATAGTTCAGAATATAACGAATCCAAACCTCTTCTTCCAGTTCACGGCAGATCAGTGCAGTTCACCACCTGTGATGGACTTTGGACACGCTTACATCAGTGTAGATGTGGTCACCAACATACAAAATCTCATCGCCATGAACATTTAGTGAACTCTCTATCATCTGTGCACTTCCCCCTGAGTACAAACCTCCTATGGGAGATCAAAGGCAAACAAATTAAGCTTTCTTTAAACTCAGTGTACATTCAGTAGAAAAAAAGAGAAGTCACCTGTTTCAACCTTGAAGCATGGACGCATCAAACCCTCTCCAGTCACAACCTCGTACAAAGGATGTGACATCTGGAAGAACTCTGGTTTCCTCTCAGCTACTATCACCATGTCAAAGAGATCTCACCAGTCCATGTCATTGGGAAGGAATTTATTAAATGAATGCTTCATCATCTTGTCTGTGTAGAGATAATCTGAGCTTTTTATCAGCCTGTAAGCAAACAGTACCACATTAACAAATGAACCATCAGATTTATACATTGTCTGGGTAGAAAGAAACGTTACCTCCTTTTGATCCAAAAGAGCTACACGTAGTTCTGGGTCTGGCTCAACAAACAGTTCCGACTTGGACATTATCTCACTCTGCAAATACAATTGTTACTAATAAGTAATAAGAGACCTGGGGAACTCAATTTTTAAAGAAAAAAAGACAAATTAACTATCAACCTTAAGAAAAGATAAAGAGAATACCTTATACTGCACATGAACTATTGATCTTGTAAAGGAGATAAACAAACCTGAGAAGGAACGACCTTTGCTACTTCTTTGCAGATCAAGCCGAAGTATAACACTATGAACATGAGTCAATAAGTATGATAAAGCGACAAATCAATAGCACGTAAATCACGGCTTGAGATCCTCTGCAATTGGAGCTAAGATCGACGGCTTTGGGAGCTGAGATGGCTGTTGGTCGTGAGCTTAGAAGGTCGCTGCGGTGAAAAGATGAACGCCGCTCACGCTGCAGAGGAAGCTCAGACACGAAAAGGAGGGCTGTAAACGCGGTTGGACAACCGAATATCAATCGGAGCCGCGACAGCGATGACATGAGAAGTCGCGGGGTGCCATGGCGAGGAGCCGAGGTCACTGAGACGAAAAGTGTGACGTTTCCAATTAGAGAACCTATTTGATGGGCTGGTGAATCTGGGGCTTCTGGGCTGAGAATTTTTAATTGTATGAAATTCGTTTGATTTGTTAGCGTGTTAAGTTCTCATGATCTGATTTTATGACATCACTTTATGACGTGGATGAAGGAGAAGAGAGTAAAGCTTTTCTTTATATATAAAGATCCTTTTATTTAAAATAAAAAATATGATAAAAATATTTTTACAGTTTTTATTTAGGGTTTTAGAAAATTAAAATTATTATCATATAAATTTTTACAATTATCTTTTTTAGAATTTAAGAAAAAATTTAATTGCTATCAAATAATTATTTCTGTTAACACACATCCACAAGTTCATAAATTAATTGACACATGTTATAATTATGTCAATTAACAATTTTGAAGAACCAAAATTTATGTAATAAAAGTTTTTTAAAAGATTTTTCATTAAACAAATATTTGTATTCACAAGTACTATATTTTGTAACATATTTTTGACACATGTAACAATTTAATAAATTAATTGACACATGTCATGATCATGTTAATTAACAACTTTGAAAAATCAAGCTTTATATAAAAAGATAGAAAGTTATACAATATTGTTATTTTCTGTATTTTTCTATGTATTGAATACTTTTAAATATTAGTTATGTATATTCTAAATCAAATTACTATTTCAACATATTTTTTTCATTTTTATTGAATCGAAGCTACAGTTACCTAAACTGAAATTAAACCATCTTAAAAATGATAAAAAGTTCACAAATATGATTCATTGAAAATATTTTTTATTTATTATGTATGATGTTGTCATCATTCTCAATTTTTCATTTGCAACTCCATCACCAAGGTAAGTAATCAACAACACTAGTACATGAGAATCAACTTTACAGATTACCAATCCCAACTACCATCTATATTTTTTTGATCATTTCAGAAAAATGTTTAATAATGTATAATGCATTTATCTAAATGCCATTTAATAAGTTCAAACAATTAAAGAAACTAATTTATAGCAATATTATTGAATGATAACTCGTTTGATTAGAATAACTAACTGATGTGAGGCTCAAAATTTTTGGCAATCAAATTGTGTTTCTAGCTACGATTTGCGTGATATGTGACTATAACTTCTTAGATATGAACTACACTTTTAGACGACAAAAACAAAAAAAATGAACTACACTTTTATGTATTGATTAGAATTTTTTTATGAAGTAAATTCATTTCTGTTACATAAAACATCACAAATAATATGAATTATGTGTAAAAATAAAACCTGCACATTTGTAATTAGGTTTTGTTTCAAATTTCATAAACCTGAACGGATCTGATCAACTGGAATGCCGAGGACTACTTTTTAATATTATTATTAGGTTTTGTGTTTCGAGCTACTATTTTCATAATAAGTGACGTTTTTTTAGAACAACATATGACATATGACATGTGACTATAACTACACTTTTATGTTTTTTTTTTTTTGGACAAATTTTTTTTTTGGACAAACTTTGTTGTGACTACAACTTTTATGTATAACTACACTTTTTTTTTATATTTATTAAAAAAAATTTGAAGTAAATTCATTTGTGTTATAGAAAATATCACAAATGATATATTTTATGTGTAAAAGTAAAACATGCACATATGAAATTCGGTTTTGTTTCGGATTTCATAAAAATAGAAAATTGACCTGAACCCAACTTAACTTGAACGGATCCGATCAGAAAAGTTAGAAGTTCCTAAATTGGTCTAAAACATCTCAACTCAACCCAAATAACCGCATCCAACTTAAACCATAAACCAAAATGCCCACGAGTAATGTGTACCATCCACATGATGTACCTAAAAGCATAGAAAACAGTGTTTGGTTTCTCAGACAACAACTTTATGCAATAAGTCAAATTATTATTTTTTAATCATTTGAAACTACATCATTCACTTATAGGTTCCTAAATTGGTCTAAACCATCCCAACACGAATAACTGGATCCAACTTAAACCATAAACTGGAATGCTCAGGACCAATGTGTACACACATGATGTACCTAAAAGCATAGAAAACAGTGTGTTTGGTTTCTCAGACAACAACTTTATGCAATAAGCCAAATTATTTTTTATTTTAATCATTTGAAACTACATTATTCACTTGTGTTTTAAACAAGGCAAAACTAGATAACTTATTACACACAAAAGGTTTTTAGTTTTCCTTTTTAAGGAGTCCACGGAGCTGGAGGAGGTGGTGTGGCAGGTGTTAAAGGAGGCACNACATTATTCACTTGTGTTTTAAACAAGGCAAAACTAGATAACTTATTACACACAAAAGGTTTTTAGTTTTCCTTTTTAAGGAGTCCACGGAGCTGGAGGAGGTGGTGTGGCAGGTGTTAAAGGAGGCACAGCGGAAAACATAGAGTTCTTGTCAATAGCTCCTAACCTTCTTTCGCCTGATAAAGCCACCAAAGCTGCAGCCAGACCAGCATTGCCTGCAAGAGTCGGCTCAGTGTAGTTATAATTAGTACGAAGGTCATGGAATCCGTCATGCTTGTCAGGCCCTGCAACCATCGCTCCAACAATGGTGTTTGGGTCATTCTCTTTGGTGTCTCTCCATTTCCAACCTCCGGTGCAGCTTTCTTTCTTCACACTTTTCGGTATGGAAGCTCCTCTATGGTGTACATGTGTCGGGTATCGTTGTCCAAAGCCGACAACATAACTCAGATTCCTAGGATTGTTACCGAGTATGTAATCAATCTGCCATAAAAACACACGCAAGAGTTTGATCAGATAAGGTCATTTAGTTGCTTCATTTATGCTATAGAGGAACCATATTATATACCTGTGATCTAGCAAAGTCACGTAGGACTTCAGTAGAATAGAATTTAGGACCACAGTACCATCCAGGAGTGTCAGCAGCATCAAGATAATCACTAAATAGCGCAGCTAAGAAAGCCGCATTTGCAGCATATTGCAGAGGCTGCGGATCTCCATGGTTCAACATTATTAAACCTCCTGTGTAGATGAGATCAAAGTTATAGCTCTTCACAACATGTCCACAAAAAAGTAAAAACTGTAGACAGTGAAGTACTCTCAACTCACCCTTGGTTCTTTTAAACTTTTTGTAGTAAGGTAAGTAAGAGCACATGACTACTCCTGTTTGATTATGAAAGGTGCTCAAGATGTCTTCATATGGATATCCAGGGCTTATAAACAGCCTCAACCTGGTCAAAAGCAACTAGATCCAGAAAGCAAACAGATTAGGTGGTTTAAGAGTCAGGTAAAAATAACATTACTACAGAACTAACCTGAGCTCCGGGTAGTTTGTTGTCCCAGCTAGGGACACCATAGTAAGGGCTACTCCAGAAGGCACCGGCATGCGTTGCCATATCATGGTTGGTAACTTGATCTAGATAGGTTATATTTCCAGTAGCATAGTACAACCAAGCACCGCCCCATAGAAGCTCATCCCAAAACAGGCTGGAGTTGTAAAACTCGCTAGACTCTTTATAAGGCATACTGTAACTTTCTTTATGAAGGTTTGCAAAATTATAAAGCGTAACAGCACCGTGAACAAGCTTCTTAGAGTACTCTCTGTTGTCTTTAAAAACAATGGATGCAGAGGCCAGAGCAGCTGCCATCTCAGCTGCAAGATCCGAGCAACCAGAGTAACAAGTATGCGCAAGCCTTGCATAGTCAATATCCTCAGGACGCGTCCAGCAGTCACTTCCTCCACTGGTATGCCCAGATCCAACCTGTGAAAATTCACATATGTTTCATAACGGTTTAGCATCCCAATGACCCTTATGATAATATTTTTACCTGTGACACCATAATGTCTACTGTATCAGCACTACTGTTAAAGGTCTTGAGAAAGTAATCACTTCCCCATTTAATGAGTTCTTTAACATGGTCAAGCTCCCCTGCAGCTTCGTATTTAGCACTGTATTCAATCACGCTCCAGCTCAGCATGGTCATTGCATATGACATTGGGAAGCTGAACTTGATTGCATCTCCGGCATCGTAGTAGCCTCCAACCACATCTCTGTGAGGGTATTCTTCTTCATCAACATCTTTCATACAAGAGTCCCCTCTCCATGATACGTTATTGTGCTTTGGAAGTTTCCCAGCTGCAAGGAACATCATAAGTAAACCAGTCTTGAGACATGACAAAACTCAACTAAACTAAACTGAATGCATATCATAGACGCATCTTTCTTTTTTATGTTAAATTTATTCAATCCAGAAAGCTGTTGTTAGATTGTAGTGTCATAAACTCCATAGAATAAGGTCCCAAAATTTATCTTTTTAATAAACCTTTTTGTCGAAACCTTTACTAAATTGTTAATACTTCCTAAAATCTCAGGAAGTTTATGTAGTAACAGAATATTAACAAGGAAATAAGTCCCAAAATTTATTTTAAAAAATTATTATAGGAACCTTGCTAAATGATTTATACCTCCTAAAATCTCCCTTCAGTTTATGTAATAACCGAATGTTAGTTAAAAAGGAAAACACTTGTTTTGATCTTACATTTCTGAGCATTGAAGAACATGAGGGTCTTGTTAAGAGCCAAAGTGTAGTTATCCTTTTGAGCTTTCTCATGTTTATGATGCGGCACGTGTCCAACGATAACGGTTATGGATCCAAGGAGAAACGCGGTTGCAAGAACGATTCCAAGAGTCCATAGAAAGATCTTGCGGCTGATTAGTATACATCCGAGATCAACGTACTTCTTCTTCTTCCTCACGGCTGGTCGGAGTATCCAGCTTTGCTTCACTTCGTCGAGTGGACGTGGATGAGCCGAACGTCTGGGATCTTCCTCTGCCGCATTGATCTTCTTCATTTGGTTTGTTTCAAGGTAGAGTAGTGTATATGACACTAAGACTGATGTTCTCTACATGTTTAATTATAAAGAGTTGTTGGTGAGAAATTGTTGAACTGTCACTACAA